TAATTCTCTGATACGATATCAATGATTTGGCAAAGACTGCCTTCTTATCTTTAATACATTTTGCAAGTGCGCTAGGATCAAAGATAGTTCTTTCAAGCAAATGTCAACACAACAAATGATCTAGCGGGTGAACGGTTCATTACCTCACGATTGGAAAAGTGTCAAAATGTCGAGATTTCACGGTTCTATGACTCGTACAGAAAATTGACATTGATTAGAGCTAACAAGCAGCATAACATTTATTTGACTGCTGGTTGCGTCACAGAGAACAGTACCTCGCAGTTTCCGTGGTAAGTACGCTGCTTCCTTTTCAGTTACATAATCAACTACTTCTATTTTCTAAAGTGTATCTCAGTGTTCGTGGCTGAAGCAGCAGTCGGTTAATTGGTGATTAGGCTAGTGCTCTGAGCTCGTCTTCCACATAGCCATAGGGTAAGTTCGAGTTTTCGTTCCCAGAAGCTCATATGTAAGTTGTGTTTGCGTTTTGCGTTTGCTGATGATTCTCGTCCCTGCAAGCGATTGTCTACAGCATAAGTTTGGGGCTAACAGCTTGAACGGCAGAAATCTTAATGTGAGAACAGTTGAGGTTCAGCTTGATTCTGTAGCCGATACTACCTGGCATAAAGAGAGACAACGGTTTTTAAATAACGGTATCGAATATAGGAAAGCCACTTGGCCTCTTGAAAAGAACAGATAAATTTCTGTGACTGAAAGCTGAGAACTTTGTTTTACAACTCACTTATCCAGCTAATAATTGACTACGGGGGTTACTTGGAGACATGAAGCAAACCGAAGCCGCCCGTCCAAGACGTAATCAATTTACAGAAACGATGCGCCAGAGTAATCCTAGACAAAAAATGAGACACCCCCTCGGGGCCTTTATTTAGGGACCTTAACGTCATGCCACGATTTGATAAAAGACAAGAACGCGCTTACAGCGGCACCCAGTCACGCTTGCTTGGAGATTTGATCGAAAAAGCTTAGGATAACTGTATAGGAATATTTTTATTTATAAAAGCGACCCTGTTCTTTTGGCCGGTATTACCGGAGAAAATGGTACCGTCCAGTGAGACATCCTGAGTTTTAGCAACATTTGTTAGGAGGCATATCATATCTGGCTCTTTTATTGCTAAACGGTCATTCTTTAGGTTTCCAAAAGGCCAGGGTAACTAAACAGGAGTGTTTTTTTTTTTTCGTAAAAAGTGCCTTGTCCTTTTGGCCTGTATTATCTAAGGAAATAGCACCGCCTAGCAGGACATCCTAAACTATGTCAGCAGTTGCTTGCATGTATTACTACATGACATGCAGCTTGTTATTGTTACATTGAAGTATATACCTTGCCCTCTGAAGGCTTTTTCCTACCAGCTGGGGATAGCTGAACAAAGATAGTTTAATTCATTCCTTGTTGTTGTAATCAGATGGGGAAGTGCAAAACCCTTTTTGTGGTTTGACATTTGAAATCCAAGGATAACCAAACAGGAGTGGTTTTCTATTTTTGAAAATTGTCTAGCGTCTGAACTTTTAACAGGGGCACCCAACGCGAATATAGTTCAAAACCACTTAAACATAGCATTGTTGAACGTATTTTAGTATTTAAAAGGTAGATGTACGCATATTTTTATCCCCCCAAAATTTTTTCATCTGTTCGGATTTCCTAGCTGAAAGTCTAGTGATCTGAAAATTATAGGGATCAAAACATACATTTTCGAAAATTTCAGCCAGGAAAAAGGCTCCCGAAAATTCTAGGTGACCTTTTTAGGGTGAAAATCCGTTAAAAATGGGCAATTATTCCATTTTTTAGATGTTCGAAAATCCTAGGAGAGGCAGGCAAGCAAGAAATTTTACAACAAATGTTAGCCTAGCTTCCTTTTCAAAGTTTTTAATATATATAATTTTTCAATTCTTTTTTCAATATTTTTTTAATGAACACTAGTGAGCAGCACAAAGTAACGAGAGGATCTTGTTTACTTGATTTATTTATCCGACCGGTAGTGGGGTTATTGGGGCTGTTGACAGTTGGGGAGAGGGGCCCGGGGGAAGTTAAAAATAGAGAGTCTCCCGAATCAACAACCAAGGTTGATTGCTGCCAATGTAGGTAGGTCTTTGGGTATGGTAATGTATGATAAGGAGTTTGAAACAAAAGAAAATAAAATTTAGACCAAGGATAAAATTGAACCACAATTTCAGTATGGAGAGGTGGGGGGGGGGGGGTGGGGTGAGAATAATGTTGTTGTCACAAAAAAAAAGAATTTTGATTTGTTTTGATAGTGCCAGCCATAGAGTACAGCCAACTGTACCAACCTTTTTTTTGGTGAGTGATACTGACCAGTCAAACAACACGCAAATAATGAGGACAGGAAATAACAATTATTCTATAACAACAATAAATAATAATAACAACAACAATAACAATAATATTTATGATAATAATAGATCTAACTGTATAACATGAATGAAAGGATATCATTTACATAATCGACTGCTAATATGATCAATCAGGAATTTTTCAAAGAACATGAGAATCTCAAACATCGCAAAGTATACCGTAAGATCACGCTTCCCTGGCGGCACCTCTAGCTGTCAGTTTTGAGTACTCCCTATAGATTGTCCCCCTGGGTGGACATTCTTAGGTGATTACAACAACAAGGAATGAATAAAACTATCTTTGTTCAGCTGACCCCAGCTGGTAGGAAAAAACCTTCAGAGGGCAAGGTATATACTTCAATGTAACAATAACAAGCTGCATGTCATGTAGTAATACATGCAAGCAACTGCTGACATAGTTTAGGATGTCCTGCTAGGCGGTGCTATTTCCTTAGATAATACAGGCCAAAAGGACAAGGCATTTTTTACTAAAAAATAAAACACTTCTATTTAGTTACCCTGACCTTTTGGGAACCTAAAGAATCACCGTTTAACAATAAAAGACCCAGATATGATATACCTCCTAACAAATGTTGCTAAAACTCAGGATGTCCGTTGGACGGTACTATTTTCTTTGGTAATACCGGCCAAAAGGAAAAGGCCACGTTTATGAATAAAAAGGTTCCCATAGCGTTATCCTAAGCTTGTAGAAACCTGCAGAAATCCAGTCCTACAACACAGTTTAACAATGAAAGCTAGAGGTGATGTACATGCCAACAAATGTTGCTATAATTTAGGATGTCCCTTTATACGGTACTATTTTCTTCGGTAATACCGGCCAGCAGGACAAGACAAATTAATAAGACATTTATGAAAGGATTGCTTACTATACAGGACCAAGAACACTTAATTCAAAACTCACAATAAACGCAAACTTCGTGAACAATACCGCAAATCACGCTTCTCTGGCGATAAAACGGCTCCTTTGGCTCTCAGTTTCCACCACGCTTGAGCCGCCATATTGGATGTTTTCGAGAATTTCCGATCGGCCCGAATCGGAAACTCGTTCCTAATACTCATCGGCTGTCCTTTTGGACGGTATGATTTAGGCACAACCCTCTGAGAAGCCAGTGGCACATACCCAAGATTCCAAGATCGCTCGGATTACGCAAGTGAGACTAATAAGAACGCGAACATAAATAGTTTGGTTGTACTTTGTCAGGCAAAACTACGTGTCTGCCTCACTCGCGCGGTACTAATACCCCCCCCCCCAAAAAAAAATACCCCTGCTTAAATCAAGGCACCCAAATAAATACTCGTCAATTTTTTTCCCACAAAATCGCGGTATGGAACATTTCAAGGCCCCCCTCCCCGAAAAATGTTCGCTTTTACTTCGTGTGCCGGACACAGATGACGTAAAACGAAATGTTAGTTTCATTAAGAGCCTTACAAAAAGGAGTACCTTACGTTGCAGCTCAAGCTTATGCCAATTGAGTGACTGAAAGAACTCAGCGAGGCTAGCATCGTAATTTGAAGAATTCATTATACGAACAGCGAGGTTCTGTAGTTTTTGGAGCTTCTGGGAGAGGACTAGCCTAGCCTGCGCCACAGACGAAACTAAACCACCTGTGTACCAGGATTTGAGTACGTGCCATGATTGATCTGTCAAAAAAGACATTGTCGATTTTTAATCAGGATGAAAGGAAACTGAAACGTACTTTCAGTAATTCGTTGACTTCGTTAGGGGCTCAGAACAAGGATATCGACGCTGCTACGCAGACGTTCCTAACCGAGGTTAAATAACGTCTGTAACGCAGGCTAGGAGAGGCCCTTGTTACAATTTCCCCAGACCGCGCTCTAGTAATTGAAGTGAGGCTGTACGACAACTATGGTATGACCTGAATCAGTCTCCTTTGAGGCCGGTTATTTCGTAACAGTGAAGTTTAGATAGTAGTTAGGCTTTGTCAACCGTATCAAAAGCCCTATTGGGGATTTAAAGCAAAGACTGCGGAAGGTTCTAGTTCGTAGACGGGAAGTAATTTTGTTTTCGCCACCCGAACTTGTAATCAGGGAGTTTAAGATAGCGAAAACGTCACCTAAAAGTGTATTCGCGTTCCGTTATTCTTTATCGTGATTATTCCAGCTCGCTTACTTTGTCAGTGTTGGCGAACACTCCTGAAGTTGTAGCCGTGCAGTGAACCCCCACGGCAAGGAAATGTTAAAAAAAAACATTCATTAAAAAGGGCGATGCATGGGCAAATTTAGGGCGTGCTTGCGTTTTATCAGTCTTATTCACACCACTTGGTGAGATGATATCTTTTATGAAATATTTTCTTTCCCGTCACCGAAATATGGGGCTCATGATCGAAAAATGAGCCTTCGGAAATTTCCAAGGATGACCAAAAAAGGATAGAATGCGTATATCGTTCGATTCCGTTTCAAATATACACTGGAGTTCTAAGCACGTAAATTAACGTACTAGACACTACGGCCCGCCATGATCTACGTAATCGGGAAGCGCAGTACGGCCAGTCAATAACTTTAATAAAATAACCAGGACAATGATTCAGAAATCATACGTCAAAACCTTAAATATTTAGTATCTCCTTCTTTTTTATAGGAAAACAATAACGAAGATGACCGTTCCTATAATCGGTCTTTTCGTTGCCACTCTTTGTTTGCATCGGGTGCAGAGCCAGTTTCCCAGGGTGTGTGTGAACTTTGAAAGCCTGAAAAACAAGACGTGTTGTCCGACACCAAACGGCTTCAATGCACCATGTGGTAGCGACGGAGATCGTGGTGAGTGCCGGGATTTGATTGTTCGCCGGTGGGACAGAACTTACAGCCATTACCAAGAGTTCCATAAGAAAGACGAACGTCACAACTGGCCCAATGCACTTTTCAACAGAACTTGCGCGTGCAAGGCAAACTTTGCTGGGTACGATTGTAGTGAGTGTAAATACGGTTACTATGGCGATGACTGCAACCAGAAAAAAATCCTGAAACGTAGGAACTTCGCTAAATTACCGACAGAGGAACAAGACCGTTATATGAGTTACATCAACAAGACAAGGTATAAATTATTGATAGGGTTCATGCAGAATGCATACATACAATATATCATCAAATTATTAATTTACGCATAAATACACTCTATGTTATGTTATTGCGAGCGATAAGAGGAGCCCGCAATCCTAATCTCCAAGTTGCTATAACGCATGCACGGCACCTATGCTATAGCCAGCTTTGTTTGGACTTCCACTAAGAATGAATGGAATGCACAAAACGCAATCTGATCACGGCAGTTTAGACCTTCTCTCACTCGTATACGCAATGTGATCACGCGTGTTTTGACCGCCTATCCCATTAAACGTACGCAAGGCACAGCATCCGCCCTAAGGCACAGCGTTGGAGCAAAAGCGTTTCGGACCTTCGATCGTTGTCTAGTTATAATTAAATTAGGATCCAGGCTGATTACTTAGGTAGACCATCCTCAATCGGGAAAAATCTTACAAAAAAGATATTTTATTTTCAGTTCGACTTTCGATTCTCTGATACCACTAGCACAAGCACTGCCACATTGCTGTTATTGTTACTGCTTTTTCTGTAATACTACTACTTGTACTTTTTTCCCTTACGTCTGTTCACCCTTTCCCAGTCCCTATACGACGTCTTTCCAGGCTTCTCGGTCAATACATTTCGGCTACTTCCTTGGATCACGTGATCTGAAACGCATAGACCGGGCGGAATAATGAGGCCTAGTGACTAAGAAACTTTCACCCGTTTTTGAAGGGGAAAACTCCGCTTTCACATTTGTGATAAGAGGCTTAGTAACTAACAACCTCGCCTCAGTTGTTCAAACGGTGGATAACGCTCAGGGCTATCCACTGGATAAATCGCTATTTAGTGGATAACGCAATTGGCTTTCCAAGTACTTATCGCTGGATAGTGCAGCGTTTATACGACTGGGGCGTGAAGCATATTTCTTTGTTACAGAATAATTCACTGTTTTTAGGTATGTCAACAGCGATTTTGTTGTGAGCACGAGTTCCTATCAAAAAATACAAGAACAAATAAACAAGGGCCTGGACCCCGTGGCCCTCTTCCACAATATCTCGACCTATGATATATTCACGCACATGCACTACTATGCAGCCAATGGAACAGGCATTGATTTTGCGCACGAAGGGCAGGGTTTCGCAACGTGGCATCGCGGATACCTGCTAGCATGGGAAAGAACCATTCAAAAAGTGAATCAGGACGATGAATTCGCGATACCATACTGGGATTGGACCAAGAATAAGGACAAGTGCGAGATATGTACTAAAGATTTGCTGGGAGTGACGGGGCAAGACGGCATTGTGACAGGGAAATATTTTAACGACTGGTACACCATTTGTACTCCTGAACAAACGCTCGGCATGAATAAACTGTGTCACCCTGCAGATAAGAAGCCCGGATTGGAGCGTTTGAAAGACAGCGACAAAGAGAAGAATGAAGAAATGGGATACCACATGAATTATCCAACCAAAAAGGAGGTCGATTTTGCCCTCGGTTTTGAAACATTCGACCTACCGCCCTACACCAAAGAATCAAGCTGCAATTTTAGAAACATCTTGGAGGGTTTTGTCAAAACTTCTACTGGCTACCGACTGCCCAATTCCCATTGCCTTCACAATCAAGTACACTTGGCTATAGGTGGTGCAATGAATAGCACGCTATCAGCATCTAACGATCCGATATTCCTTCTTCATCACTCATTTGTTGATCGGATTCTCGAGAAGTGGCTCCGAAAGTACAATAAGAATGCCTCAGTCCTTTCGTCATACGATGCACCCATTGGCCACAACAGAGGTGATGCCATTGTGCCTCTCTTTCCTGTGTGCACTCACGAAGACTTTTTCAAGGTGTCTTTTGAGTTGGGCTACGACTTCGAGGATGTTGACGAAGAAGGTACGTGTTCAGTTGCCGTACTGAGTTTCTCGTAGTTGGTTTATCAATCCATTAACAAACATGCCCTAAAACTAACAATATACAGTGGAACCTCAATATAACGAAGGGCCAAGGGACTGGAAAAATTTGTTCGTTATAACGAGGTTTCGTTGTCTCGAGGTTCTTTTTCATTATATATTTTACTATTGCGGGAGTAAAGAAAATTGTTCGTTATTCCAAGGACTTCGTTATATAGAGGTTCGTTATATCGATGTTCCACTGTAATACCTATCATGTTTAGAGTGGCCGGAGCTTTACAATTCCCCTACCCCTTGAAACAGCTAAAACAAAGCAAGAATAACAATTAAGAACACAACGTAATACATTCAATGAAGTATATCTTGAGGTTAAGAAAGGTAAGTACGAAATGAAAACCACAAACAAGTCGAGACTTGATGTCTGTAAATTAGGCCAACTTTATGTGCAGTCCTAACCAATAGCTTAAAATTGGATGCAGCATACAATTGCCACATGACTGAGTTGTAAAACGTTAGAATTGTCAATGATCCAAAGGATAGAATTCACGATGGGTCAACAGCATGTAAAAAGCAGAGCCCTTTGAGGGTTTACTATATTTTGAAATTTTAATCTGACTGAGTGCAACGTTGATACGCGGGCCGACCGGTTTTTCACTGCTAACAATTGTTTGATTTTTATAATTATTTAAGTCAACGATTTTGGCGGGGAAAACTGACGTACACGATTGACAGCCGAATTTAAATTTAATAATCAATACGCTCTCTAGGTACTTTGCAGTTTTAAAGGCGCATGAAGAGGTGAAGTGGAATTTTGATTTTAAAAAAAAATTCAGTTGGTCAAATCTCCCGCCATTTCCTAACCTCTTTTTAGAATTTAGAAACACTGGCGAACTATGAAATGCTATTTCTGAATCCCCCTGAGCCACAGGGCGCAGAGGAGTTATTTGTGACCTTGATTGTCATAGGCGTACGGACCGTGGGGGCGAGGGGGGCTGCAGCCCCCCCAAATTTTGGGCAACTCAGATTTTTTGGGCAACAAGAGAAAATTTGGGCAAAGCCTGTTTTTAAACACGTCTCCGTGTTTATTTAATTATTCTGAAGACCTGAATATTAACCTGAAGTCGGCGTAATAATACAGTTACATTCACACGAGACAGTAATCGCCTAACATGTGATGAGTAATTTTCATATTTGTTTTTTTGTTATTGTTGGGCACCGTGCTGCACTGCACTAGCTGGAATGGGCTATCCAGTCATGAATTGATTAGAATAAACTTTCGCATAACTTTCTAGAATCATCTCCACTTGAAGAACAGGGTAGGTCTGAAAACGGAGGAGTGGCTGACTAATTCTCAGTTTCAATTACGAGAAGAATCTTAATTCTTTTAAAAAATCCATCGAGTGGTTTAAAATTATTCGCTAATTTGTTAAAGTAGACCGAAATGTTTACAAAACCGCTAACAAGAGCGCCGCGATACATACTAATCAAATCCTTCTTTCTAGCAATCGGGCAGAGCTATCTTCCCGATCTTTCACACGCGTTTTTAAAAAGATTAAAACTACTATGAGGTGAAATTGCATGTCAAAAGCGCTTCGTTTTCTACAGTTAACAGCCAAACCTCACAATTTTCCTTTTCTTACCGTATTTCTAACGGTAAAGACTTCATCCCTAACTATCTCAGTAAAGCTCTTATAGATTTTGCTTGCAAAGATCGTGAAGACCGTATTGGCGAAAAAAGCTCCTGTGAACGATTTTGTAAGGTTCCCAGTGCCGAGAATTTTTAATTTTGCTGAAGTAAAATAGGTAATGGCGTGATTTCGATGCTATGACGACTCCGATGTCATTGCAACCCTGATCACGACAAATTCTCATCTACGTGGTGGCAATTTTTCCTAATGTTTGTTAATGGCGACGTAGTTTATGCTCAAACTTGGCATTGACCCTGAAAAACTGTATCGAGCCACCTTTATATATACGCCAGTACGGCCTATGTTGTTGCAACATGGCTCTCGTTTCTTTTCAACTCTTCTGTAAAAATTTGGGACACTTGCGAGAATTTTTTTGGGCAAATGGTTTACCGCCCCCCCTGGCAAAAAAATTTCCCGTACGCCTATGTTGATTGTTGATTGTAGCTAAATTTTACAGTTGATACCACGCATCGCCTTTGTTTTTATACTGTAAAATCGAGCAAACCGTCACTCGATGAACTTATAAACCTGGTAATATATTATCCAATGCTCCGGAACACTGGCAGTAAACAGAGGCGACTTGTGCGATCGGCTGTAAAATTTTCGCTTCCCTTGCCAACACAAATAACTCCTCTGCGCCCTGTTCCTGAGCTTGAAAAGTGCCGTCCTTCTCCTGTTGCTTACCCGTAACTTTTGACTATTCAGGGGACTGTAAAAAACACAACAAAATCCTCTCTACAAATACTTTTCCTTTATATTTTTTAGGGTATTCTCCTGACGACGGTGTTTCTCCGTCTGCGTTGGGTCTTTGTCCAGTGATCAGTGACACAGCAAACACCTCGAAAAACTGCGAGCGCTATAAGACTACCACATTCATTTTCATTGCAATCTCGGTCGTGCTCCTGATAATACTTCTTACAGTTTATTGTCGCTTTAGAAAAATATCTAAAGAAAATGCGGAGACACAAGGGCTTGTCACGGCTTAAAGTGTCTCTCCTGAAATAACCTAAAAATATATATATATATATATTACTGAAACAACACATTTACTTCGAGAACTTCTAAAAAATTTTGTGTTTTGACAAAGTGAGATTTTTTTTTACACAAATTTTTAGGCCAGTTTTACCACCTTAAACGGAGGTTTAAAGCTAGTGTTTAACAAAACCGCGTTCTAAGCCATTTTCAGTTTGCCGAACGTTCTTATGTAAACACCATTTATCGTGAACAGTTTCATGAAACCACATAACACAGACTAGAAAAGCATTTCTCTTCTTATAATACCCAACTAAGGAAGAGATCTCATCTGTAGGTCCAAAGATTTGCGAAATCGCGATCCAAGTTAGACTTTGGTCGATTATTTAAACGAAGTCTAACTTAGACCGCGGTTTAGGTGATCTTTGGACCTACAGATTAGATCTCTCAGACGTCTTCCTTAGTGGGTATTTTAAGAAGACAAATGCTTTTCTAGTCTACTTTATATGCTTTGGTGAAACTGTTCACCATAAATGGTGTTTACATAAAAGTGTTGGGCAAACTGAAAATGGCTTAGAACGCGGTTTTTATTAAACACTGGCTAAACTGCGTTTAAATGACTGGCCCTTAAAGTCTATATAGGCCATTTCCGAGTTCCTTAAGCCACTGTTTTAAACTGAGGTTTAAAAGTGCGAAGCCATTAATAAGAAAATGATTTTTTTATTCTCATGCAAATAAAACTTATTGTGACAAGAAAAGATAACTTTGCACTTAGCCTTTTCTTTGAAAGTGACAGTTTTTGGAACTCGAAAATGTTCTATTTCTTTGGCGTTCTGATGATCACATAATTGACACGCTCATGAGTGGTGTCATGAAACATAAGTTCAGAAACTGATAAACGGGGTTTTATGGGTGCTTATCTCTATATTACGTCATAGTTACTTAATAAATTTTAATCAAAGTTCATTTGTTTTCGGGAGGCTTTCGAGAGAAAACTAAGACGAATGGAAACGGCGGCAAATTTTAAAGTGTCTGAAAAAATTCTAAAGCAAATCACATTTTGTTCAAATTGCAATTTTTTCGCAGAAGTTCTCGTGGTAATGCGTACTTTCTACTAAAGGAACAGCACAATAAATTTAGGTTAGAGTCACTTTAAGTAATAAGAGACAAAAGTCATGCATGTGTTTTGCAATTTTGCAGCTTGATGTCATGTATTATATCAAGCACGACGCACACTATTTTTTTTTAAATTTAATGTAAGATGCTTCAACACTAGCTGTAACAAGTAAGGTACATATGTACTAGTAAACTGACGATCGTTGGTATTCATAGATTTATATACATTAGCTTTAGCTGAAAGAAGCTTTATCACGAAATTTATGAAAATTCAAACAGCAGGAACTACCACCAAACTGAGTGTGAACATAGAAAAATGAACGCTTAAAACATTAAAGGAAGGTACATCAAGGTGCGCAAATGCAAAAGAAGTCACGGATGGACAAATTGGAAGAAGGTTAAAACGTATTGCAGTTGTGAGTTTGAAAAATTTGTTAGCCTAACAGTTTTTCCGGGTTCATTTTTGTTGTTTATAATGTTTGATATAATGCTTGAGAGACGTATTTGTTGGACAAGAATCTACGGGTTTTTTTCCTTTACAAGTAATTTCTTAGCTAACGTAAGAAAGTGTAATTTGCAATGGATCATTATGCGTTTTTGGGAAACTGTCCACCAACCCGTCCCCTAAGCCAACATTTTGCTTTAAGTGAGGACTAAGTGTTAACGTTGGCTTAGGGGAGGGGTAGGTGGGCAGTTTCCCAGAAACGTATAATTTGAAATAATTTAATGAACTAGACTGCCGTAACGCAGCCCTGTTGAATTATACACACTACTAAATGTTAGAGAAAGAAAAGATTCTTATACTGAAAGCTGTCTCATCAATTGAATAGAATCTGCTTTCATAAGAACTATTTTGTGTAAGAACGTTCAAGCTTAGATTAGCCAGGCTGAGAGTCAGTTAAAACTGTCTTTATTTTGCTCTTTGTTTTAGTAGTACCGAAACAAAAGTAAAACAGTACGAGACTAACAGGGTAATTAACTCAAATATCCTAGAAACATTTGTTAACATTAACAGTGTGGTTTTTCTTAGTGGATAATACTCTGAAAAGCAACCCAGTTTGTATAGTCGAAGTCGCCCGCGTCGGTTTTATTGACATACAGTCGAATCTCTAGTAAGCGACCATTTAAAATGCAAAGGAGTTCAAAGGCTTGGTGGTCGCTTACGAGAGTCGGACCGCTAGGGCGAAATTTTTAAGTCAACCTAGAATGGAGTGGTACATTTATTCTATAATGAAAGTTTACTTTCCACTGATAGTTTTATTGACAAGATCATTAGTTATTCTATTTTGTTATATGGACACGAGTGTTTTACTGGAAAATATACTACTCGTAAAATTCATAAAAACTACATCCGAGACCCGAGTGGTTTATTTCCCATAATCTCACACGTGAGTTTATCGATAACGTAATTTCGGTAATTTTCCTTCGAAATTTGTAGGCGTCTTGCGTCTTTTGAATTTTACTTACACACATTTCAAAGTTTTGCCTTATATTTTGTCATTGTAGAGCCCTATTCAGCACAGCGTTATTTCTCAAGATTATTGTAGCCATGATGTCTTGTATTGCTGTACGACAGAGCGCAAAAACCGCTGATTGGCTAGTGGATAATGACGTAGTTTGGCCTGTTTTGCGTAACTGCGCATGCGCAAACCCGAGAAAATTCAAGATCGATAAGAACATCGAAGCCTGGCGGCTGAACGTGAGCTAAAAGGACCTACAAGACTGCTGTTCGTAGAAAAAGAAATAATCAAATATAGCAAGAAACGTTAAATGAAACTTATGAAACCTACTGTTTAATTGCCTTCAAAACTATGTGCGTGAAGTTACTGAAAGCGCCGTTTGGGATGTCCACCGTATATGTAAACATCGAGTATTTATATTACAAATCCTTCGAGCATATTTCAGCTTTCAGCATTGAACTGACATCGGATTACTCCTTTGCCCACTGGAACAGGTACAGGGAACTTGCTATTGATTATACCCAAAGGTTTCCAGCTTTGATTGTCCATATTTTGAAAATGCGTTTGGCTGGCCAGAATCGTCATGCTTCATGAGCTTCGCGTGGTCGATCAGCTTTCATAGCTTTGATTTCAAATTAAAGCGTCCCACTTTGCTTCCTTTGAATTCTGATTCACAGTCGAGTCGTAGAGATCCAAAAGTTTCATATCAGGGTCATCATCATCGTCCTCGTCGTACACAGGCAAACAGGTGAGAATCCAAGCTCTTGAGATTATTTGTTTGTCATTATGATAACCTGCTATCAGGTGTTTGTTAGACATTTTACAACATGCTACAAATAATGTTTTAGCATGTGGATAATTGTTTACATGTATGAAGCTCATTTCTTTTGCTGTTTGTTATTTGTAGTAGCTAATTTTTATTTGTTCTGTCATTGTTGATTTTTCTTTTTTTTCTTCCAAGTGTTTGTTTTGAAAAGTAATTTCTTATAAAACAAGCTGTACATCTACCATAATCATTTTATTACTTCTTTTGTTGTAGGAAACAGGAACCATTAACCTGATTTCTAAAAAGAGCGGAGGTTGTATATAAGTTCCCGTAGATGGTTTTCTGATCAGTACTCCCGCACGGCAAATATGTAAAACAGTTTTTGAGAATTTTTAATTAATTTTCTATGTTAGACTGATGTTTTTAACCGTGTATAAATAAAGTTATCATTCATTCATTCAGAAGGGCAACTACCCTAATTCTCTTCAGATTAGATTTCTTAACTGATGAAAATTATTTTTCACTGTTGTAAATGGAATGGAACAATATAACTTCATTCACGCCAGGATCGTGCTCATTGGAGAGTTGTTCTGTGTCATTGGGATAAAATTAATACTTTTCTTCTTTTGTGTAATGATGGACCAATGACTTGTATTATTGAGATGTACAAGAGTACTGAATATTGTCTCCTTTTGCACTGAGATAATTGCTTGTCATGATGATAACCTGCTATCAGGTGTTTTTTTTTTGCACTGGACAGTCTCTCTGTCAATCAAACATCACACGGAATGTGTATAATACTTGCTTATCACATAATTATAAGCATTGCTTTCATGTTTGTTTCTCAAAGTATGCTACAGTAACTAAATGTGCTCCTTTGTCTCAAACAGATATGATATAATGAAAACACATTCATCAAATGAACATAAATTTAAATACCATAAATCCTCTTTTACCTCCCCCCTCAAATAAGTTCTCCTTCCCTTTATATTCTTCACTAATTAATGAATGATAGACTGTATTACTCAATCACAACTGAAAAACTTCGTGTGGACCAATCCAAGATGGTTCATTCACTAACTGCACGTTTGGATTGGTTTATGGTCCTCAGCTTTTCCACTTTGTATTCTATGTCTTTGTGGAGAGTCTTTGCTAAATTAAATAAGTTCCCCCTCTCAAATAAGCCCCCCTCCCTCAAGTGTGTTTGAAATAAATAAGCCCCCTGGGGCTTAATTGAGGATTTCAATAAACAAAACTGTTTGCCAGTTAATGAGTTAAATATTAATGGTGTTACAAAGAAAAATCTAAGATTTTGAACAAAATTTTTTTTTTTTTGTAAAGAGTTTCATTTCCTTCTGCCTGAAGCTATATTTGACATATATGTTACAGTTAATTTTTTATCTCAGGTAATTTTTATTTTTTCTTTTGTTTCAACTTTATTAGCATACATTACCTGAGTTAAAAACTACAACAAATACAAGCTTCAAGTTTATTAACATGACATTGGCTTTCAGTACAAGCCAAAGAATATTTTGGTCAAGCATGCAGTAAATGCCTACATTAGTGCACACAGGGTAGTCAGACTCAGTGCTTTTATACACGATTTACATTGCACTTTCTTGTAAAGCATGTTTGCTGAGTTTAGTTCTCCACCAAAAGCTTCTTATGCTGTATGACTTTTTTCGGATAATAGCAATAACCTCGGGCAGGTAACCACATAGAACATAATCTCTCTGAAGTTATTATTGTCAACTAATGGTCTGGTGCAGGTCCTACTGTACGCTACTCTGAAAGATGGTGAACAGTACAACTCCATGAGAAATTCATTGGTTTAGTTATTGTTTGTCATGGGGTCAATA